ATTACGAGTAAGAGCAATAAGAACATCAGGTTCGAATTCGACACCTCAAAAACCTCCTATTACCAAGTTTCGTTAAATTAAGTTCAGTATTTCAAAAGTTATTTGAAAAAAACGAAAATAAAAATAAAACTTTAACATCCTGTATCTTGGAAACGAAGCGTTTCCGGACATTTATTTGGACAATTCATATTAGAATATTGTGAGGAATCACCTCCTGAAGTTTGTCAAAGTACTTTTGGATCACCCTGTATATTGTGGAAAAGCTCATTGCTTAAAAACAAAAAACTGTTTGTCATTATGAACAAGGAGTTGATTCTGAGTTCGTTTCGGGCCAGAAGGAAAAATAGAGGAAGATTCGATCTGAACACACACTCAGGTCCAGAGGTGCACAGAAAAAAGATGTTTGGGTTCGAGGTCTCGACGAAAGTGAAGTTTAATTAGCTGAAGATGATTAATTGAATTATTGATTGAGTTCCTACTACCGGGGAAAGCAATGGATTTTGCGTGGGTGAGTCCGGGATATAGACGTGTATCAGTAATTTCGCAGCAATCGACGTAGTTTTGTGAAACTCAAAATTGGCCTGTCGGAGGTACCAGGGAGTAAGGAAGACTATGGAGTGAGCCGTTTCAAAGTGGTTGTTATCGTAACCAACCATTGTATGGGAGAGCAGCACATTTTTCATTTATTACATTTGATTCAAAATGTTATTGCGAGTGTAAAGAGCCCTCTGTAAATGTTGACTGGTATTTTTTGACGTGAAATAGAAAATAATTTACGGCAAGGCAATTCATTTTTTTCCAGGTCCATGAGTACAGAGATTTCTCATGTTTCAAATAAAAACTAACCTGTTAGCTACACACTAACCACCTGTAGTCGGTTCAAGAATGAGCTGGAGTACTATAGAGCCGAAACTCGGTGAGTTGTGAATTAGTTGATTCTTGCTCAATTTTCAAATATTGTTTTGATATTCATTCGAAACGGGTGCTGTGGGGACCAGGAGTCTATTGTTAAACTTTTTTTGTAAACGCTAAGCTAGATACTAGGAATTTTCTAAAATTATTTATGATTGGAATCAAAAAGATTCTCTTCGATAGCTAGTTTCATTAGGTATAACTTCCACTGGGTTCAATTGATATTTGGCACTATTTTGATTCTGAATCATTTACATGATATGATAATTCGAAAACAGTAGATATTATTTGTCAAAAACTGTTTATCCTTTCATTGCAATAAACCTGAACATTTAGATACTTATGGGTTTTATTAAACCTCAATTCTCCTTCAGTAAGTAAAATGGAAACAAAATATCAAAGGGAATTGAGGGACATACGAAGTCTGTTCAAAAAATGAGGTGAATGTTCAAATTTCGCGGGCTACGTAGATTGGATTAGCGATTTTTTTATGTTGGTACAATCGTCTCGAACATATGTTCACTGTTTCAACTGTTAAGCATGTTTAATTTATTGATAAGAGGCATGCAAAATGAAAGTTTTGTGTAAAAAATGGAACTGAGTGCTTAAAAACATTCGAAATGTGACATACTGTGTCAGAAAATGTTTACAAGTGGTACAAGCTTTTCACAGAAGGTCGAAAAGATGTGAATGGCGATGCTCGCTTTGAATGCCCCAGCACATCAACAAGTGATACAAATGTTGAGAAAGTGAAGGAAATTGTTATGGAGAATAGTCGAATCACTAGTAGAGAAGTTGCTGAGGATGTCTGCATATCGATTGGCTCATGCCATGCAATCTTTTTCGGAAATTTTGAGCATGAAGCTTACGAGAAGCAATTCGAAGAAAACGTCCAATATTGTGGAAAAACAATTTATGGCTTTTACATCACTCGTCGTTGCTTGTTCGTAATTTTTTGGGCAAAAACAAATCCGTAATCATACATCAGCTCACGTATATATTAGAATTGGACTCCTGCCACTTTTTCCTGCTCCCAAGATTGAAGAGATCCATGGAGAGAGCTCAAGGACATACCAAAAAGTGCACATCAGAGGACTGAAAAATCGCTGGCAAAAGTATATTATATCTGAGGGGGACTTGAATGAATAATTTGTTTTACAACAATGAAAGTTTACCTCATTTATTGAATAGACCTCGTTATTATTCAGAGTGAAGACGATTGAAGTACACAATAAGCAACAATAAGACATTAAAACTATACATATAAATATACGGGGATGAAAAGTCAAGAAAGTTGTTATTCATTACAAAATTAGATGGAAACGAAATTATTGTTCAAAATTGGAATGCAGTTTTTATAATCGGCTGTTCAATAGGAAACGTGGTGTTAACATTCATAGGAAGAAAAAACAGCATTAAACACCCCTTTTTGAAAAATCTAGTGAACCTTTAAGCGATCAGAAATTTTAACTCATTGAAAATTTCACATTTGCAACATTGAATGTTTATTCAGCTTACCTGAAACAGAATGTGATCGTTTTGAAGAAAATACTGAAATTATCGAGGATGTTTTCTGCTGTACAGTAGATAATTGTATTCAATCGAATTCTTTGGAGTCCTGGATAAACTGACTGTGTTTTTCCTTTACATATCTTTGTATTTCTTCATCCGAAAAACCAAGTAAAGAATCAGTCATAACAATAATTGGGAGAAATATAAAATCCAAATCCTACAAAATATCCGCTCAGAAATAAACAGTGATCACCAATGAAACATAATAAAAGTAAACACATAATCAAAGTTTCAGATGGTGATTCAGTTACCACTTTCGACAATGAAACATTCACCATGCTCAAATCCAAACATCTCACTGAGCCTCCTAGAACTCAATGTGGTTCCTCTTTAAATAACTGAAACTGATGTTTCAAGTGCTGTTAGATCATTTCATACAGGATCATACCGGGGGATGGATTCTCTAAAGCCTTCGTTGATATCACTGTGTAACTTGTACTGTAGAAGTACTTCCAATTGTTTATGATGCTTCATCAATAGCTCTGAAGTAGAAATGCAGTGGTGTGAGACTTATTGTCGTTGACACATTTTTTCGCCACTTGGTAGCCAAAATTTCTTGGTTTACCATAAAAAATGTATTCGGGAACTTTTGTGCTAGACAATTCGGATTTGAAAGTCCTGTAGGATGCAAAGTAGTCGTTCACGTTACTCGCCATTTCATAAATCAGCAATCGAATTCGTCATCCACAAATCCAAAAATCCACAACACAATGAATTATAGGCTCTGAAGAAGCTTCACAAAAGAAGCGAATGCTTTGCAAAGTAGAGAAGATTTGATTTTGATCATTGGAATATTGTAGCAGTTCGGAAAGGCTCATGTGTACCGACCAAGTGGGTTTCTGAAATTAAGATTTCGTTCCGCACAGTGAATTCCATCTCTCGTCCTTTATTCAATTTTCGACCCATCTGTATACCAGGTGTTTCTGACGATCATGTTTTCAGTTTAACTGTTGATTCTCCTCTTCCATATGTTTAAGACTTCCACTGAGAAGTTTGTGTCGAACATGTATTTTGGTGACTTGTGGTCCGAGAACATGTTCGATGTTCTTTCCTACACATATTTTGAAATTCATGTCATGCCCAATCCGTTGTAGCTTAATAAGTTTTTGGAATTGGCCCACTCTTGCCTCCTTCATTATTACTGGATGTGAAGGAGGAAGATTCAAAAGCTTCTCCAATGCAGGTGTAGGAGTGGTTTTCATTGCTCCCGTTACCCCCGAATATGCAAGT